ATACTTCATGTGCTGCCTTGCGAGCTTTTTTTCCTCATTAATATAAAACTGTTTTGTAATGGTGCACAGGAAATTTCAATTGGAGATTCTCCAGGTTAGTGTTTGTTTTGAAGACTTATGATGCATTTATTCAATCAAACCTCTGTCAGCCGTTTCTACCCCTTTGACCTTACACATTCTATTACAATGAGTTTTGCAGTTTTGCACACTTTTTTAAAAATGTCATTAACTGTTAGGGAATTTTACTTGAATACTCAGTACCTACGATGTTTTAAAACCAGACATTACACACGATATAGAGGAAACCAGTGCTGCAGTAGACCCTCAACATTGTGTGTATATGAAGTTGTATACTTTTAAATAGCAGTGCTTGTCCCAGATATCTTGTTTGCTATCAAAAAGACCACCACCCCACCCACAAAACTAGGTTTCTAAACTGGCAGTGCGGTATCACTTGTTCGTAGGGATGTAGCCAGGAGTAGGGCTTGAGCTTCACTTTCGGTGTGTAGTTGACGTGCCCGGACTGCAGACGAATAGCTGTTCCCAAATTGACGCTTTGTTTTAGGATGTGATACACACCCCCCACGCCCCCCTTTTAATTAACTTATTGGTGCTGACGTTGAAGTTCATTAGCTGTGTTCTCGCCTAGATAACCGCCGTGTATGGAATCTGTAAGGGCCCTGTACAACAGCATTAATGGTAAGAATTTGAATGAGACAAGGCAGGACTTCCAGTAATTACTATTGGTAAACGAAGGTATAAAGTGTTCTTTACTCTCTTTCTCTTCGGTGTCTGTTGGTCGGTTTTGTTCATCAGATTCACGATTCTAACTTCTAACCAAGCTGGTAAACGTTTTCTGACTTATAGGTTTAATTAGACTTTAGTAGCTTAACGGATCAAGATTGCTGGTTCCAGTGCTCATTATTCCCGTCGTTATTGACGAGCAGGAGGTGGTTACCTTGGGATGTGACATTTAACTCTTACCCTTCCAATCATGTTTCACCTTGTCTGTTTCTTAACAGTTGAAAGTTGTGTTGGCTAATAAACAAAAATGTTCATGCTTTAAAAGTATTTGGATATTGACACTGCTGCGTGTCCCACTTTGGGTAATAAAAACCGGATTGGTGTGGTTCCGGTATGTAACGCTGAGGGCTGGATTGGAAATCATGACGCAATGGGCTTTTGCACTGTTACTTTTCCTTTGGAATGTGAAGGTTGGAATGAGGGTTTTGATTTTTTTGAATGTTTCAATGTCTTTGAGAAGCCTTGCTTACATTTTATGGTGTAGTCATTGGAAATGGAAAAATGGCATTATATATATATTATATATATAAATATATATTATACATACTCTCCTATACTTTATTTCAGTTA